CCCAGCGCTGTAAAAAAAATCTGAATTAAAAAAAAAAAAAAAAAATGTTAATCTACAAAGGCCTTGTGCAGTACCCCAATCCATTATAACAACCACTAACGGATATAATTCTGCATGCTTGTTATAGCCTCCAACAAGAATTGCTATTGGCAACGATCCTGTCATAGGCTCCCAGATGTCATTGTACATATTAGCAGGATGTACAACATTTTACATGTTGCATTTGCATTCAATGCCCATTATTTCTAGCACCGTACCATTTGTAATGTAATAAAATCAAGCTACCTGTATTGCCATAAGTTTTATAAAACTGAACCCTCAAGTGTCTAGTTGTCTCATGCCCATTCAATATCTGAATAATTTAGGGCACTTTCAGAGTACACTACCAGTCAAACGTTTTAGTACACCCCCATTTTTCCAGTTTTTATTCAAATGTAAGCATTTCAAGGTCAGTGAATAACCTGAAATGGTACCATGTATATTTCAGAGTTATACAAAAAAGCCTTTTTTCAGGGAAGTAGTAATGGGTTAACAACTCACAGTTTTTATGCAGCAATGTAAGTAAATTAAGCCTTGAAAGCTTATGCTAACAATTCCTACAGGTGTCACAACTTTTATGGATTACTCACAAGCCCTCTGTCTGTATAAAAGCAGTGTTGGAACAGACTATTACTCCACCCTCTGAACATCCCTGGCAGTATGATTATTTTATTTTTATCTTCCTTTTTTGTTCCATCTGGTTTTTTAAAAACTTTTAAAATTCCCGCTGGTTCCGCCCCCCTGCGACGCAGACGCTCGCAAGGGACGGAACCCGGAAGACGGATGCCGGCATCGGCCGGAGGACACAGCGGGGATCGCGGACAAGGTAAGAGACGCTACGCTGTAATCAGAGGCGTAACTAGTGACCCCAGGGCCCCGGTGCAAGAATCCACGACGGCCCCCCCACCCCCCAAGAGGAAAAAAATTAAGGTACATTTTTTAAAAAAAAAAAATAGACAAAAAAAAAAAAACTGATATTAGGGGTTACCGGGATAGTAATAATCCTGGTAATCAGCGGTTACTAGGGGCCCCGCAGAGGCGGCTCTAGAGTTTGTAAGTAAGGCTTCCTTAGGCAAAACTCCAATGTGAGGCCCCACTTACACCCATAATGAAATTTTTTTTATTGAACTGCGATAAGTGATGGTAGAGCGAGGCGGATGTCCAGCGAAGGGGCCCAGGGCCAATGCATGGATTTTACAGCCTGCACAGGTCAAAACTCCCACCACAAACCCCCCCACCTTCCCAGCACCCTAAGCTTTTTGCTAGATCCAGCCCTGGTCCCCTTTCACCCGGGAGGTGAGCTGATTAGGGTTGCCACCTTTTCTTAAAGCAAAACCCCAACGCTCTAGCAGTGTGTAGCATTTTATTTTTTTTGCAGAATATACAGGCAAGAGCGAAGTGAAAGAGCAAGCACAGAGAGACAGCCAGGAGGGAGAGCGAGCAAAGAGAGACAGCCAGGAGGGAGAGCAAGCAAAGAGAGGGACTGTCTATGGTAAGTTCTGCAGGGTCTCAGGTGGGCTGGTCGGGGGGGGGGGCCCTTTCCTTGCAGCTCCTTACAGCACCGGACCGTCAGCGACCTCTTCCTTCACTGGACCGGCGGTACTGGGCCCCAGCCCCGGCGTCCTCCACCTCCTCCCCTGTCAGTGCCCGCCCGGCGGTAGTTCCATCGTCCTGTTCTCTGCCACTGCAAGATGGAGTGGAGTCCCAGCAGGGCAATGTGGAGTGCAGCCTCGGCGTGAGAGCGCGGGAGTTCCCTCTGCTCTGTGTGTCGGCTCTCTCTCTCCCCCTACTGCTCTCGCTGCTGGGCTGGAGACGGAGCCGTGTCTCAGTGAAGTGCCGGCCGGGGGGAGCACTCTGAACCCGCAGTCAGATGCACATTTCCCCGTACAACGCGCCCTCGGCGCGCCATTCATGCTGACCTCTCTTGTACATTAGGTAAGTTAGGCGGCTGCAGCTAACTTACCTAATTCAAGAGCCGCCTCTGGGGCTCGTCCTCCTGTCCTGGGCCCCCTCTAAGTGGCGGAACTCCAGGACGCGGTCGCAGCTGCGACCTTTGCGACCCTGGTAGTTCCGCCACTGGCTGTAATCCTGAGTGTGGCTCGGGGTTACCGCTTATGGTACTAAACATTAACCCCGAGCCACACTCTGGAATACCGCCAAGGAGGTTAAGCAATATTTGGACAGTATTGTACAGCAGGAAGTAGTATATTGCTATGAAAATGACAAGAAAAAGGCAATTAAAAAGGAAAACAGAAAAACCATTATAACCCTTAAAAGTGTAGGTCTTTCCTTTAGAGAAATTGCAAAGAAAGCCCTGGCGTCAGTGAGTACAGTTTCCTTCACCATCAAAAGGCGCTTGGAAACTCACAGAAAGAGGTCTGGCAGACCCAAAGCCACAACAGAATCATAAGACAAGTTTCTTGAGAGTCAACAGCTTGTGTGACAGGCGGCTCACAGGAGAACAGCTTCATACACAGCTTAACAGTGATCGAAGTAAGCAAGTTTCAGTTTATTTTCAACTATGCAGTGAAGACTTTAAGCTGCAGGTTTGACAGGTTGAGTGGCAGCAAGAAAGCCATTGCTAGAATGGCAAAATAAGATAAAAAAGAGGCTTGCCTGGACCATGAAGCGCCACCAATGGACTACTGAAGACTGGAAGGTCTGATGGACAAGATGAATCAAAATTTGAGATCTTCAGTTCATCACACATTGTTTTTGTACGCCGTCGAGTTGGCGAAAGGATGGTTCCTCGGTGTGACACCAACTGTCAAACATGGAGGAGGAAGCGTGATGGTCTGGGACTCTTTTGCTGGATCTAGAGTCAGCAATTTGCACAGAGCAAGTGGCACCCTGAACCAAGACTACTACCACAGCATTTTTCAGCACCATGTAATACACTCTGGTGTATGCCTAGTTGGTCAGGGGTTCATCCTACAGCAAGATAATGACCCAAAACATACCTTTAGGTTGTGTCAGAACTACCTTGGAACAAAAAAAAACAAATCATGGAATGGTCAGCACAGTCTCAAGACAAACCCCATCGAGCTGGTATGGGACGAACTGGACAGAAGAGTGAAAGGAAAGCAACCTACAAGTGCAACACATTTGTGGAAACTTCAACAGCGTTGGGAAGAACTTTCCCAACAATATTTGATTTACGTTGTAGAAAAAATGCCACAAGTGTGTTCGGCTGTTATACCTGAAAAAGGTAGATACTTTGATTAGAAAAAAATTTAGATTGCATTTTGTTAAAAGAAAATGATTCCATGATTTTGGATGTGCAATTGTTTATTTGTTCTATTCTTTATTTTCAGATTACATTGAGACATGAAACTGCATAAATTTCAATAAAAACTGGAAAAAATGGGATGTTCTAAAACCTTTGCCTAGGAGTATATATGTATTAGTGCCAAGTTTCTTTTACACCTGACACAGAGTCTTTTCAACCCTACTATTCAGGATAAAGAGTTGAGTGACTTGCCAAGTAGGGGATACAGATACTTCAGGCACAACATATAAATAACAGGATATCTGACCGTTCTGCATTTGACAGTGATTTCACATCCATTTTCCAACCCCTCCTACTTGACAGAGAAATACTCTGCACACTGTGATAAGTCAGAGTTTAATAGGGTGTAGAAATAGGGTTTTGTTTACACTCTGTAGTGACCATGTGTAGGGTGTCAACATTTGTCCATTTATAGTACATGGCATGGCACAGTTGTAAATACTGCAGTTTTCCACATTATCCCATATTCTTCCTGTAAGCTTTAAAATAACTTAAGAACTTGCTCATTATAAAGTTGGTGAATAACGATTACACCATGCCTCACAGCCTTCTAGTTTCTGGGGCCCAGGATATTTGTAATTATCCTATGAAGTTGAGAAATTAGTGTAACCCTCATAGTGCATAAGTCGTTTCAATACTGTCCTGACTGATATGATCTTGCATGTATCAAATAAGAGAAATCAGGCATAGAGCCAATGTGCCCAGCCTCAAGATTTAATACTTGAGACACCCTCTATATGGAGTTTCTTCAATGGGTCAATAAAGTCTAAAGATGCCCACCCTACCACATGTTTAATTTGTGATGAAATAAAAAAGAATTTAGCATTGTGAACAGATAGTCCCCCCGAGTCTTTTGGGTATTGTAGGAATTCAAGGTTAAAGTGATATTAAAGTAAAAAATGTTTTAACCACTTCAAGACCAGGTGTTTAGACCCGGGCCAGGCCATTTTTCAGTGTTCAGTGCTGCAGTACTTTGACTGACGTTTATTCCGTCATGCAACGCTGTACTGAAATGAATTTTATACCATTTTTTGGGGACAGATAGAGCTTTATTTTGGTGGTATTTAAACACCACTGGGGGTTTTATTTTTTATTATAATTAGGAAAAATTACAGAAAATTTTGGAAAAAAATTTGTTTTTTTTACATTAAGTTAGGAAACATTTATTATTACCCAGTTTTTTGGTAAAATATAAAAGATCGGGTCACGTCGGGTAGCCTGATGAAGGGGACCCTGTGCGGCCCCGAAAGCGCTTCATTCCTTTCGAGTGAATAAAATACGCCCACTCAGATCTAGAGAGCTAGGCAGTTAAGCTATTTTAGATGCTGATTAAATAACTTACAATGGCCATGACCCAACTGTGATGCATTTTCCTCCCGATCCTGTTCACTTAGCTCTACGTGCAGTACGATTTGCCTGTCCCTGAACCTGTTATTTACTACTTACTATATCCACTCTTGATTACAAAATGTGCTTCATACACCTTTAATGGAATGTGCTACTTCTATTGATTCAATGTATGCCTGGTGCTTATATGCTGGATGCTGAACAGGAGATATCCAGAGCTATGCAAGACCCTTTTCAAATGCCTTTTAGTCCACCATTCAACCTACCCTGTAATGGTTAGGCATATAATTTCGCAGTAACCTATTTTAATAGGAATGAAGTCTAATTGCCATTCCTCCCCAGTCATGCCAACGGAAGACTCGTTTTCACATGAACTCCCCTTTGCTCTCCATCACATATGCACATTACTACACAATTTCTTAGAATTCTTGTGTGTGCCCCCATGTTCTGCTGAATTTCAACTTAATTTACTTTTTTTTAATGCTTAAAAGTACATGCTTATGTACACATGTGTACAAGATAAAAACTCAAGTGCGCAGCAATCAACTAGAAGAGCTTCTAACAAAACCTTACGTGCCTGCTTGTGCTTGTTATCTTACTGCAGTGATATTGTACAAACTCCACTGGAAGCCACTAATCAACTTTCACACACCATGTTGCGGTGAGAGGATTAAATTGTACTCCAAATCTTAATACTGTTGAGTTCTCCCTATGCTGCTACTCCTATTCGAGGCAGGTGCATCCTGGAAGGGTCTCCAGGAGCAACAACCTCCTCTGGGCACTTATGACAACTCCCCTCCACCAGGATTTCCCAAAACTCTTTGGGACAGTAAAGGAACCTGTTGCTACAGTGTCAGATGACAATTTCCTTGATCCCCATCTGGCTCCTTAACCCTGTTTATCACCTTTTGTTTGAATACCTTGTTTTTCACATGTTGAGCCAAGATGTTTATGCTAGTATCGTAGAAATTCAGATGTTATTTCTTTTAACATCTCAACACTAACCACACAAATCTCTTGCTTGGGTCCCAATCTCTATAGGAACATCACCTATGCTCTCTCCTTGACTTACGACAAAAGCTGTTGCAGCTCATAGACCATAGAATCCACTGTAGAAGCTTTTACCCTAACACACAAGGCAATAAAAGTGACACATTTTTAGCATGCTTGCTTCGTGCTAAAACAGCCTCCAGTGCCATAGACAACCATAGTACCAGACAGGGATGTCCCTTGTCCCCCTTGATTTTTGTAATTCCTTTGAACCATTCTTATGCATGGTGCCAGCCATCAACGATATCCACAGCATCCTAATACCATCTTAAGAAATCAAAGTCTCTGCATTTGCTGATGATCTATTGTTCCATCTCACCCAACCGCTTCCATCACAAGCTAAACCTCCAAAGGTCATTCAAAGAATTCCACTCCCTTTCTAACCTACTTGCTAAAATACATTATGGCAAATTGTTCGCTATGAACATCTCCCTTCCATCTACTAAAACAGGTAACTGCAAATGAACCTTCCCCTTTAACCCCTTCATGACTGAGGCCCTTTTTTCATTTTTTGCACCCATGTTATATTCCACATAACCTGCGCTTCTATATGACCTTAAAGACCGTTACTAACTTAACTTTCTCCTTGGACAACCACCCTTTTTTCCTATTTGCAGGAATAGGACAGGGCTCATTTTTCTTGGCTGAACAGGACGGCCATCTCAAAGATGAATACTATGCCCAGACATTTCTATTTGTTCCAGACTATACCCATCCTCCTCCCCAGACAATTTTTTAACTTCAATCTAAATGCTATTCTGGACCTTTCTACCCTAGGCTGCAAAGTATGGGGAAAAAGGATCGGTGTAACGATCAGACCCCACAGGTCTGTAGGGTGGAGGATCACAGCTGCAGAGATAGCAATAGTAATAGTAATGGTAATAATCAATCAGCAATCTTGAGCTAAAGTTAGGTTGCGGTTTTATTAAAGGGAGCAATTCGTGGTTTGTTGGGGTGAAAGAAGGCAACCGTCAATGCTTGGATGCAATGGATAACATTCCACACTGTTAATCTGCAGGCATATGTGAGGTAACAGTCTGTAAGACAGGGTACTTGCTATTTCAGTGGAGAGGGTTGACTGGAGCGACGTTGGTGCCCTCCTGTGGTTCCTGAGAGGAATTGCAGTCCAGGCTTTAATTGTGTAATCCTAATGCTGGGTATGGAGAGCTGCAGATGGAGCCGAGTTTGAGAGGAGAGGCAGGAGATCACTTGTGGCTGTGAGGATGGCGGTTTTGGTGGGGCTCTGACCGGCCCAATAATGGCAGTGAGGTTCAGTGCTAGGCGACGGGGAACTTGCCTGGCGTCTTCACACCTGCTAGAACGCCAGACAAGTGTCTCCGTCGGCTTTAACTAGGGAGAGGGGGAGGAGTCTCGTGACGTCACAAAGCTCCGACGGCAATACGAGCCGTGCTGAGAGAAGGATCAGGTGAGTCAGTTACAATCGGCCTGTACTACATGGCTGCAACACAACATTTAAATTAAGTGCCACAGCCTGCTCCTAAAGGCTAGAACACAGTCAAAGGGACTATAACACAGCTAGATAGATAGATAGAATCTTAGGGGGGAAAAAACAAAGGAAAGAGGAATCCTTCTCTCACCAGAGAGAAGATATCCATAACCTAAAAAGTAAGGCTTGATGAGAGGAGAGTCTTTTTCAATACATCATCAAATAAACGGTGTGTATTAACACAACAAAAATATAACAGCATGTTTTGCTCCTACTCACCGAGGGGTGTCAGCATAAATGAGTCATTTCAAACAAAAGGGGAACTAAATTCTTCCCCTTCGCATGGGCTGCGGTGGGACCAGGGGGATAGTACAAGATGAGGACCCAAATGACCTGTGTACTTCTATTCAAGGATCACATCCAAAAGTTAGTGCCATAGATACCAGAGTGGGAGATTATGGGAAAGACACATCTGGGAAACCCTGTCGCGTATCTATGGTGCTAACTTGTGGATGTGATCCTCGAACAGAGGTACATAGGTCATTTGGGTCCTCGTCTTGTACTATCCCTGTGGTATTGATTGTGATGTATTCAAAAAGACTCTTAGACAATGAACTAACCTCTTGTTCACAATAGATGAGTTACCTCCGGTCCCATCAGCAAAACGCATTGGATACAAAACGCATGCCACAGCGTAGAGACTGTAAATAAGATTTAAATAAATGGATATTGTTGATACAATTCACTTAACTACTGGATATAGTTGATGGAAATGTAATTCATGAATTGTGAACGTGGCTGCGGGAGGGTTACTTACTGAGTGGACTATTTTTGGATTCTTTTTCCATGTTTTGTCATATTAATGATTTTTAATGTCTTATTTGTAAAAATAAAACTACGTTGTTTTAAACATATACCTTCTAGCGCCTCTTGAAACCCCTATTATAAATTATGACTAAATAAGCTTTGAAAATGAAATGACAGTTGGAAGCCGATAGGTTGCCAAGAGCAACTGCTCCAGATTTTGTCTGCTCCAGTTTTAATCAATTCCCCTCAATGTATACAAAGTACATAAAAAATGAAAACTTACTGTTTTTTTATTCTCAAGATATGGTTGCATATCAGTTCCTGCAAAAATGATAGTAATTTGCTTGAGCTCTCATTCAGAGAAAGGTTCTGAAATATAAAATATTAAAATGTATGTCAGGGCAAAATAACCCCAGCAATACATCTCTGCAATACATGCACATTCCCATGTATTATACATTTAAAGTGGAAGTACCAAAAAAAGCCTACTGATTGGCCAAAAATGCACCCAAGCTTCTAAGTCCTATTGTGGGCCAACAACACACAGCATTTTTGAGGAAAACCCATCTGGTATATTTTGCTAAACCACTTCTGCTCTCGGATCTCAACAACAAAGGCTCATCATTCAGAAGTCCAAGATAACAATTAGGAGGGTTCTTTGAAATAACACCACAAGTGTGCAGAGGACACAGGACAGCTCTGAATTTCTGACAAAATCATCAGGGTTTTTAGACCAAAAGGGAGCCAATAAGAAGTAAATTGTTAGGGTTTACATAAGCTCTTTGCTCACTTGGGAAGATTGTTAATAAGGTTACTAAAGCTTAAAGGAGAACTATGAGATGAGTGATTTCCACTCACCTCATAGTTCTAAGCCGACCTGTGACAATGAGACTGTCACAGGTCGGCTCAGTAGATCGGGAGGTGAGGGAACACATACCGGGTTCCCTCACCTCTCGATCCTGTCACGGCTCTCTGCCGTGACAGGGGGAGGGGCTGGATTCCCCTCTCCCCGCTCCGATCTGCCAGCGCTGACTGGCGGAACGGACGGGGGAGGGGGCGGGTACAGCTGGCTCTGCCTCTAGATAGGCAGAGCCAGCTGTCACTCACGCAGCTGGGCGGATCCCGTCATCTACGTCGGGATCCGCTCCAGGTGCGGCGTCTCAGTATACCGCGAGCTGTAGCTCGCGGTATACTGAGCTTAGGGTAACGGGAGGACGCTAGTTTGTGTCCTCCCGTTACCCTAAGGAGAACTATGGGGAAAAACACTGACCCCATAGTTCTCCTTTAAAAATGAAATCTTAATGAATTACACACATATATATTTATCTATAATATAAGGATCAGCAGTACCAGCATTCAAGCTTGGTTTTTCATGTGTTTCCAAAATGAAAAGTTTAAATACTAGTGATACAAATTTTTAGGCTAATAGCTCATGCAACTGTCTGTTAATTAAATAAGAACTACAACTCCAGGAATTAAACTTAACCCTTGCAGTGTGTGTGTGTGTGGGGGGGGGACAAGATCAAGCACATACATACACATCTCTGAATTAAATCTCTGAATTGGATTCAGGTTGGCTTTACAATAAACTTTGAAAAACAAAGTAACTGCTCATCAAGAAGATACTGACTACACAATATTTAGTGACAATTCACAAAATCCGAAGTGAGTAAGGTAAAACTTTTATTAAGAATATTAATTTAGAGTTGAGTGATCCTAAAGTATGTATTCTCATACTTTTAATACATTGAGACATTTTTCACTCAATAATGGTTTTAATTACCAATAATATAACTAAATTATTTGGAAAATCTTTACTGTTAAGAATAGTAATCAGGCCAAGTCCAAGCTGGAGTAACAACTGTTACAAACACACTAGAAATCATTTTCCTCCTAAATGTCAATGCTGTTCTGCCATACTACCGGTGGAAATCTTCTTCCGCTCCATGTATGCTTCATGTCGCAACTTACACAAGGCTACCTCACTTCACTCCTGGCAGCTTAATGGAGATGTGAGGGAGCAAAGTGTAAGCCTATGTGTGCTGCTGGGAGAGGGAAGTAAGGAGAATCTACGGCTCTGCCCTACATGGGCAAAACACAGGCTCACTTTAAGTCCCGCCTATTAAAACTCTTTAAGCCAGAAGTGCAAAAGAAGGTGTATAAAAAAGAAACAAAAACAAAAACCAGTAACAGCTTCCCAAGAGCAACCAATTAGGTTTTGTCAAAAAACAACTCCTACATAATAACACATTGCAATTTTTTGCTGCAAAATAAAATATAATAAATGCAATGGTTCAGATTCTATAAGAACACCTCAATACCAAATACTTTTTCCCTAAATGTGAAACCACGGTTAATAGGGGCAGAAAAAGAAGAAAAAGACGCAGCCTTGGCATCCTCCTAACAACGCGCCCCAGCCACCTCACTTTACTCCCAACCCCCCCTCCTGCCTTCTGCTCCCCACCAACCTTTCCCTTCCAAGCTACCTCACCCCCAACAGCCTACCTGCAACGACTGCACATCGTTTTCAACAACCTGCTTTTGTAATGGTTTTGTTTTATTTTAAAAATGTAACACATTTGTAAGAATATGGTTATTATCTACAACGTTTCTGTTCCGTAAGCAAGTAAGCATATAATTAGAGCTGCTGCTAATACTAACAAGCAAGCAAAATGCTTTCTTGTATTAAAAGGGTATAGACTCCAGAGATAGTGACATAATCCTGCCCCTGTACAAAGCATTAGTAAGACCTCATCTGGAATATGCAGTTCAGTTTTGGGCACCAGTTCACAAAAAGGATGTTGTGGAACTGGAGAAAGTGCAGAGAAGGGTAACTAGACTCATAAGAGGCATGGAGGAGCTCAGCTATGAGGAAAGATTAGCTGGCCTGAATTTGTTCTCTGGAGAAGAGGCGATTACGGAGGGACATGATCACCATGTATACATACATAAATGGTCCACATAGTGAGCTTGGTGCCAAATTATTTACTTTAAGGTCACTGCAAAGGACAATGGTGCACTTTTTGCATCTGGAGGAAAAGAGGTTTAACCTTTGCATACGGAAAGGATTCTTCACAGTTAGAACAGACTCCCCCAGGAGCTAGTTCTAGCTAACCCAGTTAATGGTTTTAAATAAAATCTGGATGTATTCCTAAATGCACAGAATATTATTGGATATTGAGTTCTTATAGTTATATTAACCATCAGAGATTGTTGATCCAGGGAATATCCGACTGCCTTATGGGACCAGGAAGGAATTTGTTTCCCCTCTTGGAGCAAATTGAACCATGCTTTATAGGTTTTTTTGCCTTCCTCTGGATCAACGGTGGGTAATTGTGGGCATAGAGTTCTGTTTAGGCTTTTCTTCTTTTTTTTTCTTCAAATCTCTATAGGTTGAACTCTATGGACATGTCTCTTTTTACAACCTGACTATGTAACAAAAAAAAAAGGATTCACCCTTATTTGTTATTATAAAGATGAAACAAGAGTCTGACTGGTTACTGTGTTCAACAACAATTAGGACCCATTCATACTGAGGAAATATGGTAGCGTGTGTTACCACAACACAAAATCAGCAGTGTGCTGCTCTTCATTTTTAATGGCATCATGACCATTTCTTCTTGTATTAAGATTTGCTGCCGGCCCATTTAAAACAAATTAACTGCCTTACTGTCTGCACCTCAAAGCACAATGTGTTATTGCAATGCATAGTAGAAATGGGCCCTAAATGTGAAAACATTTTCTATTCTCCAATTTTCATAAATTAGCTTCCATTGTATCTGTACCTGTTCCACAATGATGTTGTTCTGCACCAAATTTCTCTCTTGAAGGTGTGACAAAAAACTTTTCATAGTAGGCATAAAATCAATGAAGGTAGACACCTGAAAAAAAGAGGTTCATGATGAACAATTATTTATGATTAACTACATCATGCATGTGATATTTTGGTAGGGAGCAGCCCTTTGCCAAAACTATACAGCACAGTAGTTACCAGAACTTGAGTACCTTATACATTTCCATAGTATTTTATTTTTATTACTGATATTCTAGGCACACCACTTTGAGAAAAAGACAATGGGGGACATTTATCAATTTTTTTTAATCATCAGTGCATTTTAAGCAGTAGCATCCATAATCTCTAGTGCATAGAGCAACAGATTTTTTATTCTAGTTTATGTTTCATTCCTAAATGTTGCAAGATCACATAAAAAAAAGGTGCATAACAAATAAAACTTTGCGGCTAGATAGCATGGCATTTTTGTCTTTGTGCCTAAAAATGTTGTCAC